CTTTGTCTGTGAGTGACCTTTGGTGTAATTTCTATATCAGCATTTAACAACAGGTATAAGTATCTGTCCTCACTGCACGATAGCTTGTTCAGTGTTTGTCATACATTGATATGTGTGACGTGTCAGCCTGTGTATGCTTATCGGGGTATTTGTTGAATATTTTTATTTCATCCTGCTAAGGTGAGCAAGGGGGAAGTTACTTATGACCCTCAAGTTCTCTAGTCTTATAAATAAACAGGATCTCATTCTGTGGTCTTTACGATGGTTAACTACCTGATTGACATTAAATAGTTACCAATTGTCAACAAGCTCAAATGTATTCAAGCTAACAAAACTTGTAAGTTTTGATAGAGGAATAGTTTATTAGACTTCATGTTTTGCTTTAAGTTTTTTCTTAGATTGAAAGCCTTCTCTTAAAGAACAGCTTGTTAGCTTGGCTTAAGGAAACATCTGATCTGGCATCTCTAAAGAATGCTGTTTGTAAAAGTGAAAAAAAACAAAAAAAAACACATGTCATTTGATGGTTGGTTAGATTTCGGTCACATGAGAGCCCAAGATAATTGTATTTTACAGAGTTAGTTTTGTGAGCTTTACAAATATTATGCGCTGGCAATACAACAGTTACATTTCATTCTATGTTAAATCAAACAGTCGATGAGATATACAAATCCTCAAATGTTTACTCAGGGATATTCAAGAAAGAAATGGTTGACTGATAAGTACCTGAAGCTATGCAGATGAAACTGCAGTTGTTAGAGATAGTCAGAAGCCAAACTTTAAAAAATCCGACAGAACGAGTTTGCCTCTTAAAAAAGCTTCAAGGATCAGATAAGTTCAAAGGATGTGTCCTGTTAGAGCAGCCTGACACTCATCTCAACCTTCACCAGCCTGCTGTCATCCAAGCTTTATGTAATTTTTTTTAAGACATCTAGTGCTGGTGCTGGATGGTGTCTGACATATCAGGATTTGGATTAATAAGACGGTTAGAACCAGGGGCGAGCTTGTCACTTTGGTGCTATATTTGGTCAGACAGCAGGAGACTCACAGAGACGGTGCCGTCTGATTGGACTTGACAGTTCGCTCTCCCGCCATGTCCGCTCTGCCTGACACACACAGATGAGCGTGCACAAGCAAACTGACACCCGACCCGGGCTTCAAAGTGCAGCGGTGAGCGCATGTGCAGAGGAGACGCGCACACACACACACAGAGGAGGATGCAGAGTGACATCTCATGGGAAATCAGTGCACACAGACAGAGGAGTGTTTACAGCGACACCTCTTATGTGTTTATAGGCAGAAGCTGGACAAATAATCCCAGAATATAGAAAGCATCATAAAAACAGAATGATGAACCGCTTCATAAGATTTGGAATGAAGCACAAGGTCATCAACAATCCATTTTAGAACGCTATTCCTATTCCAGTCCTATTCAGCAAAACAATATCTGGTATATATGCACTATTTTTCACTTTCAATGCCGCATGAAGAACAGATTTTTCAGATTCAGACGTATCCAGTAGCTCCCCCTTCAGGACAAATTAACTATTTATTTTGTTTCGATTATCATAGGACTCTGAAGACTGCACCATTAGAAGTCAAAGGAAAAACCAAAACCAACACAAACATCACAAACAGCTCTTTCATAACGCCAAAACGTCTATAATTTCATTGTGTATTTGACCTTCTTTAAGAGCAGGAGAGCTGTTGTGTATCATAGTATTCATATGTTAATTATTTTGCACCAAAAACATCAGGACAAATGACTTGAAAGTGTTTTTTATCCTACTTGGTAATAAAACCAGATTCTTGAGAGTTACCAAATAAACTTGAGACGAGAAAAAAAATATATATATCTGATCTCTCTCCCTCAGTGAAACATCCCAAAACTACAACTATCCAAACATTTAACATTTCCAAAGTTTAACTACTGGACACAATACATCTCTGTGTGCGTGTTTTGGAGGTTTTAAGTTTTTCAAGTTTTATGTTTTCACATCACACGTCTGTAGTTTGCCTGTAAGTCCAGCCTTATCGGACTTCAGATGAAATTCAGCTTGTGTGCTGATTCCTACATATTTAAAAGATGCTATTTGCTGATATGTTGATTAATTAAGTATATGTCAATACTGTCCATTTACAACTCTGTTTTTGCACATTTACGTTTAATCTTTCATATTTAAGACTAGTAATGCTAAATTAAATCCTGGTTGTATATATTCCCATTCTTAGTTTTCATATTTTTAGTGCTTATCTACTTTGTATTTAATATTATATTGTGTTTAAATGTGCTAATATTGTGTTTTTTGCACATATTGTGTGTTTGGACAACCTGCTGCTGTAACGCCACAATTTCCCAGTTTGGGATCAAGAAAGTAATTCTGTTCTATTCTATTCTATTAATATGCACCATTTTAATTCCATAAATAAATAAATTAGAAAAAAAAAGTTTCATATTGGCTTATGATTGGTTACCAAACTGCTCGTCATTTCACAAAATCCTCTCTTTAGTGAATATGTTGAATTGAGATTCAAGGGGGAACACGGACAAACTTTCTACTTTCAATAAATGATTGTGAAATTAGCCATCTGACATTAAAACGCTGCGCTAACATTAATCTGCACGGCTGCATCCAAGAGAAGACACGACACTCTTAAACAAGCTCGATGCAGAGAGAAATGAAGGTTTACATCGAACAGATACTTTGAAAGAAATACATTTAGTTAGATGGTTTTATAGAATAAATTCTGGAAGGCTACCACAATTAACACTTGAAAGTGTATGGAAAGTGCAGAGCTGGAGCACCGGTGGGCCTAGTGGTTATTTGGCACACCCCATGTACAGAGGCTGTGGTCCTTGAGGGGGGCAGCCCTGGTTCAGGTCTGACCTGTGGCTGCTTTCCCTCCTGCTGTTCTCTGTTCTCTCTCTCCTTGACTCCTGACAGTATCCACTGCCCCCTCTTAATAAAGGTAGAAAAGCCCAGAAAGAAAAAAGAAAGTGCAGAGCTTTCCTGCATGATGGTGATATGAAGCATGGCTGAAAGAGCAGGATTAAAGGATGGCCAGGATGTAATACAATGGACAGCCTGACACAGTAATCCATCATGCTCCAAGGACAGAGGCGTCTGGATATATGTACGTATACAGGCTCTTACACAACATCCCATGTAGCCATTATCACTAGCCCTTCTCTCCCACTTCCTCGCATCAGGGGGGCTTAGCATGACAGGATTACAACCAATTACAGGCCTCCCCTCAGAGAGTGCAGACACAGGGCTCGAGGATCATCTTGTTTACTGTATATGACCAACAATGACCAAACGGAAGACGGTCATTAACATTTAATCCTCTAAGAGACGAAGCATATAAACTGAACACTTCCTGCATGAAAAAAAAAAAAGATTTAGTGTCACAATGTTCTAAGATGTTATTATCTCTCTATAATGGGGAAAAGTATGAACGCAAAAGTGGGACATTTTAGTTAACGGTCCAGAAATTATCAGCAAGAGAAACTGGCCATAAAACAGAATTAACAAGGATTTGTCGTGAGCAGGTAAGAAAACGAAATGTCGACCTTGACACAGAAATAGACGTTAAGGGCGTTTGTGCAGTGCAAATTTGCTTTTAATCATCTCACAAATATTGCTAAAGCTCCATCACTTCATCCTCTGAGCGACACAGAGAGATAAATGCGCGCTTTATATCCAGCAGTCTAGACTGTTCTAATGTTCTTCTGTCTCTGCTCTGAACAAAAAAGTTATAAATCAGCTGCAATGATCCAGAACTCTGCAGCTCAGCAGCACTTGAAGCAGAGAACACATTACGATGATTTTAAAGGCCCCCCCTAGGTCTCAGATGTAATCCATAAGTCTTTTAGTTGTTCTGAAGTTAAAGACAAAAACTTTTGGCAGAGCAGGGCTGAACAATTGGAACAGATTGCCTGACCATCTGAGAACATTTGAAAGTGTTGGTTGATATCCAGCAGCAAGCTCCAGTGTTAAAAAATGAAGCCAAATGTGGAATTTCAAACTACTGCAGTTCCTCGAGTGTCCACTTGAGGCTGGCTCCAAAAGCCAAAGATTCCACATAAGGTCCTGTTAAAAAGCCCATTTCTACAGAAGAAGTAAACATGTTTACAGCCTGGTGGTTTCAGTGTAGATAGCTCTCTATTGGTAAAAACCTGTTTGAGGGTTATTTTTTTTAAATTTCAATAAGCCTAGGAGTTATTCATTCTTTTGCATTATTACAGCGTGGCTGAGTTGACAGATAGGCAGGTGCGTTGTCGTTTTTTGCAAGGAGGCGAAAGATCCGCCGCTCTACCTTTTTTGCCTGTGTGAAGAAGAGTCAGCGTTTCCAATATGGCGACTGTCATCATTCTGCCTCAAACACCTCTTCAGCGTTTTGAAGCATCACTGAGGTCAGGTCCATGTTTTATACAGTCTTTGAATGACAAACTTTAAACTTCAGAGTGACTTTTGACTGGAATGTTAAAATTAGGCATTGTGTTTTTTTTTTTTTTTACTTATTTGACTATATTCCCATTTTAAAAGGTTCTGTACTTTTACAAATTTAACAGTTTACTTTAACTATTCATTATCTATTCTCTGTTTTCTGTATTTCTTCTCGATTTATTATTCAAAACTATTGTGTTGGTTCTATTGTAATGGTTAAAACATACACATTTGTTATCGACAAATCATGTTAAATTGCACTACAGTGAATTGAAAGTTTTATACAAAAAAAAAGCTGGATTGATTGATTGATTCAGATCATTCTTAAGTAAAGTGAAACAGGTTTTTATTTATAATTTTTCAGGAGTTCTTGAGGAATCCATGCAAGAAAATGAGTAGATTGAATCGTTGTGTTTAATTAGGGCAGTCATGAGGATGTCCACAACATGTCAAGTTTCCTTGGGTCCCTTTAAAGCCGCTTTATAATTCAATCTATATATATATATTTTTTTTAATCAAAACTATTTTCAAGCAGGTGAAAAAGAAACTCACCAGCATTTTCTCGGCCTTCCAATTCGGAAAGGTGAGCACGGCATTTTGCTGGATGCTGCTTTAAAACTTCTGCTGTGGGGATTTTAAGGTCACTGCTCTAACTTCCAGTCACATCCGGTCCAACATACAGTACAGCTCCTGAAGGAAGATTCTGTCCCCATGGGCTTCGAAAAGTGAAGAATCCTTTCTTTAAGCAGCTGAAATCTGTGATGACACTCTCACTGATGATTCATCCTCATATCGCAGGTTTTGTTTTTGGAAATAGTTCTGTCGTGCTGGACGTTTTGTTATTTCATTGAAGTTCCATTAACACATTGGTAAGGGTCGTCCAAATTCATTAAGAAGTGTTTGTTGACTTCCTCCTTTGCTTGGAAAAAGAGCTTAACTCTGACAAGTAACAAAACCAAGTGTAACTCTAAGTTTGTTTTGACATCCCACTCTCCTGTTCTCTTCTTTCTCTTCCTGTCACATCACCTTCACTCCCACACGTCTTCTTCTCCTCTGCTGGTTTGTATCCTCTTTTAGATCATCCTCTTCATCTTCATTCCGCTCCCGAGTCTCTCCTATCTTCCTGAGCTCCTGTTATTCTGCTATAGTCTGACGCTCTGGTATCCCGCTGGATGGACTGCAGTCTCTGCAAACAAGCCCACTTACTGCTGAGTAATGCAGGCCCTGGCTGTAAAGAGAGCTGCTCCTGTGTCTGTATTCCAGGGGGAAGGAGTGATGATACTGCAGCGAGGCTCTGTTTGTTCTGCTGCAGTCAGAGGGAATAGAGGGCCAGACACTCATGCCACCTCACCTAAAGCATGCAGAAATGTAGCCGTCTATCTGCAGTGGCATGAGGTGTGCATGCTCACTCCCTGCCTTCACGCACGTGCCGATCACAGCAGCAGCCCCAACCCTGCCAGCACTGCAGAGAAACCGCACGGACTGGGAATCTGCTGTCCCCTCGCTTCCCGCCTGCTCTACCTCTCCTTGCCTCATTTATCATACTTCTACTGCACACGGTAGACTTGTTGACACATTTAAAACTCACAAGGTTGGTAAGAGTTGGTGACACTGAAAACACTCCAAGGGCTACAAGTTTGAAGGTCTGTAAACTTCCGTTTAAATTAGCAAAGTGAAATATGGAGTTATAAGTATTTATTATGAGCATGCAGCTTGCCATGTAACACACTAGTGTTTCTACAGTATCCCAGAAAGGACAGATCACATCCTGACAAGTAAGAGCGTTTTATTTTCTTTACATTTTTTTCCCCCTGATTGTTGATTCTCCTCCATGAATGAGAGGGGAGGGGAGGAGATCTGCCATTCATGGCTGCAATCTGCAACCTCACCTCTAGATGCCACTAAATCCAACATACTCCTCTACTAACATGAAATACTGAAAATCATATTTCATGTTTTTATTGTGTTGACATGCTGTCATTTTTATTACTACATTTCTTAAATTAAATGAAAACAGAAGAGAAACTCACCAGACGCTCCTGGCTTTGGAGAATGTCTTGTCCACCCTGAAAAAACAGAGATGTAGATGTTATAAACAACACAATCTTACAAGCCTAAACTCCTGTCATGTCATGTTTCTGTTCTCTGTTTGGTGTTCATGTCTGCCAAAGACATCATTATCAGAACAACAGAAATGACTCAAAGTAAAAAAAAAATCCAAATTAAAAAAAAAGCTCCACAGCAAGTCATCATTTCAGTCTATAGAAACAAGAAAAACAGTAAAGAAAAAAATACATATTTTTGGAAATAATACCCCCACCTGCATGCATTTAACTCAACTCAAAATAACTCAATGCAACACTCACAAATATTCCTTTGCTCTTGTCCGCATGTATCTGAGTTTTTCTGTCTAATTTAAGTGTGAAAAGTGCAGAGAGATAATGAACCATCCTTCCCACTTACAGACAGTCCACTGAACTGAGAGAGGTCTGCTCAGCAGTGGGCCGGGTTACCCTGAAATAACTCCTGCCATCTGTTGAAGAAGCGTTTTCCAAGATGAAAGGATGATTACTCGCCCTGTGTTTGCTCAGACAAAATGAATCTTGTTGGGCTTTGAATACACACCATGAGACTGTTTGTCCCTGTCAATCAATTATAACGGCCCTGTGTCCTCGAGTCACTCTGAAGAGCAGATTTTGAGCAGTAATCTTTGGAAACATTAGTCAGAAGATGCAGTGTGCAGGGTACAGTTTCTGCCTGTAGATGGCACTGTGTTTGCAGGAGAAATTAATGCAAAAAAAGTGGACTTTCTCAAAAAGCCTTTTATGTATGTCCATGAAACAAACCAACACATGTGAAAAGACAAAATACTTTTCTCTTCTCCTAATCATGTTTATGGTATCACAATCACACCCAAACTTCTCTTGGGATGCGGCACTTGACTTCACTGACAACAACAAAGTGGATATTTGACACTGAGAACTGTTGCTCTGTGGCCCTGTCAATGACTCACGACGGCAGGCCTGTCTCCGGTGATGTCTGCTGCTGGTGACACAGCGAAAAGGGAATGTTTAGTATGTGTCTCAGGGTTCCTGCAGCTGCCTCGTGTGCAGGAAACTGACCCCCTCAGAAATTCTCGGAATGATGAACCACCAATCAGAGCAAAGGCAACATGAACTACAAATATCCTGAAGCTGTAAGGTGATTTTATGTTGTTTTTCCCCCTTGCTGTTGGAACCATTTCCTATGACTGTATGTATGTCTTGTTTCATTTATCAGGCCGAAGCTGCAGACGCTCTGACAGCCTGCAGACACCCTGTGTTTCCCAGCAGAGCCGCCAAAGTTCCGACCTCTTACTCATCTCCTCCTGAACATGATAAGTTTGCATGACACAGCAACACCCGAAGGATCAAACTAACAATTCTGGAAAGAGAAGTGAGCCTTGCTCTATCAGGAATATGGATCAAAACAAGACAGAGAGCCTTGAGCTAGTTGATCTGTAAAGCTGTAATAAGGTACAGTGAGATAATTGTTAATGACAATATTAACAAGATGAAGTGTAAAGGATGTGAAATTGTTTGTTTGATTATCAACATGCTATAATTTACAAATTGTGCTTTAACCACAAACTCAAGCATAATCAGTGGTTGTTTAGGACATATAAAGCCATTAACCAAAGTATTGGACCAGTGCAATACTTGAATTATGTCATTCAATGTCATTCAAAACTTTACATGTCAAATATGTGGTAGTTCAGAGGAAAAGTCATAAGTATACATCATCTGAGAACCATGACTGTCTTGACTATTTTGGTCTTATCACAAATGTTGAGATATTTTACAGGATATGCAAACTCTGTCAAATTTGACCTGCTGGAAAGCCAAAATGCTGATAGCCAAAGTTGTAAGAACAAATCCTCTCGGCACAACGCATATCTAAATCAAATCTTGAAACCCATCAGCTATGATATAGCACCTAGGACTAATTGCCATTTTTCTGGAGGGCTTCCGAGGTAGTAGGAAGTGGTTAATCAGAAATGGAATAAATTATATCTATAGGTCTCTGTTCATGCGCCGCTTGTAGTTTTAAGGCCAACCAGCAACTTGAGAGAGCAATATGTAACTCTGACAGCGTTTAGACTGGTACTGTGCGGTCCAAATTCAGAAAATTGGAGAGAACTTCCACCCCCGCCTCCCTAGAGTCGATGTGCCAGCAGGTTGCCATGTCGCTGACACTTCAGTGTTCAGCCAGCTCTGCATCGGTCTTGAAACCTTTCTGCTCTCTATCCTTTCTCCATTTTCAAAAGCATCTCCAATATTTAGTCTTGCTTTTCCACATTTCTGCTCATGGAGCTTATAACAAAAAAGCAGAGGTCAGGTAGGATCAGTTATATCTGAACCAGTTCGCTTGCCTGCTTCCATCGCTGTCACCCCTGGTGGTTAAGTTTGCCTGGCAAACAGAGGGGTGGCCAAAACAGCCTACCTTCTCTGGTCAAAACAAAATACAGACCATTCCATTTGAAACTGAGAAGGTGTATTTACTGGCTGCTGTGTTGTTGTTAGAGAAGCCAGAACTTCAACATAGCATGTTTCCTTAATGTCTGGTGATTGTTACCTGCACTTACATGCAGATACACAGATAAAAAAAAATGGTATATCATCATCCCCAAAAGCAGATGGCTTCTTCTCTCGCATGATAGCCGATGTGGTTCAGCTCTGTTTACTACTTTGACACAAGTTGTTTTTCCTGTACACAGAAAAAGCCTGTTAAATGTGATTGGACCAAAAGGACAATACAACTCTGAGCACAAAAGGTAAACAGGATTCTTCCTCCACCAATTATCTTTGCCTCTTCTACAGATTCCGCCTTCACAAGTAAATATCCGTAAATATAAATTATTTTTCATCAAATATCATATGTACATATCACATTGAAATATTATATTCTAGAAATGCTTTCTCATCAAGTTGTTCCTGTTTTGTTATCTTCCTGGTTTACTCTAACATTGTTGTTTATTTTATGTTTTTTGATTTTGTGTAGTAAAGCACAATGTTACATGCTACATAATTATTATTATTATTGTAATTATAATGTATTACCAACACCATATAGTCACCATACTAGAACGGGTAGGAATAATAAATACAATCACATGAATGAGGTTCCAGAAGGACTTCCCACTTTCATTGACAGAAAATAAAGTTTAAGTTTCATTCTTAATAAGGTAAAGTAAAAGTAAAACCTTTGCACTTCTTCTTTTGCCATGAGAGAGTCTCAAAAGATAAATGAAAGCTTTAAGCTTCCTCCTTCCCAGAAAAGTGTGTTAGTTAGAGGAAACAGGCCCTGGTGGGGGGGGGGGTCTGTCTGTTCACTGTTCTGTGGAGTCACAAATCAACACACTTGTGTTGTTACAGTAGGTTGTCGCCTGATTCCCTTTGGCGTAGACGATCACTCATCATTTTCAACTACAGGCCTCCATGTGACACAAAAAGTCCCTGAGAAGAATTTCAGCGGTGCCTTTCTATCTCAAATCTACGACCAGGGTTGATTTCAGCCAGCGTGACAGACAAGTGTGCGCAGATAAATCAGAGCGCCATCTTAAGAGGAATGCATACTGGTCTTTGGGACAGAGCCAAAATACTTACGGCCTGTCCGCCCTATTCTTGCAAAGCTTAGTGTCAGGAGGAAAAAGCTGATTTCATATGTGCTGCATCACCAAGAATAACATTTTCTAAACCTCATACTGCGCTGCTCACCCGTTCTCAGGTTTCATGAAATTCCCACAAAATGAAATCAACCAGGGTGTGTCGAGATCATTGGATAAAAGCTGCAAAACTGAAACAGCAGAAACCAATACAGGAAATTTGCAATAAAACATATCCATAACTACAAGGCAGAACACAACACCAATTGTTGTCGATTAACATACTGGGAAAGAGAAGGGATTAATTAGTCAAAGATTTGCTGAGGTTACGGAAGGAATTCTTTTTTTTCTGTTTCATTTGCTAAGCTGCTAAAACATCTTCATACCGTTTTGTCTACTTGTCTGACACCTTACTAAGCTACTGATCCTTCTAGCGAGATGTCAGACATTACAATCTACCTTATACAGAGACTAAGGTTCTTTTAAGACAGGGCAAAGGAAGTATAAATACACTGTAGAAACTACAAATGAAGTTGCTTTCAGTCACTTTGTATGAACCTTTGTGAAGCACTTCCTGTCTGACACCTGAGATTTGGCACGGATGTCAATCAATTCATTTCTATCACTCACTTGAGTCAGTTAAAAGAATCTCTTACACCAAAATCATTCAATTAGCAGTTTTAACATTAAGGAAGTAACATAACTCGTCTCTTTTAAAGACATC